ACGCAAGAAGCAGCGCATGCCCTAACCCTATCACCCACCCATGGACCGGACAGGGACGGGCACATGCACATGTACATGTACATGTTTGTTGTTGTTGTGCATGTGCATGTGCATGTGCATGCACATGTTTGGCCAAAGAGTGGCGGACATGCACATGTCCCGGACAACCGCCGCAACTACGTGCGCGCTCGACTGGCACTGCCGGCTCGCCGCCGCGCTACAAGTGTACTCTCGAGCGGGGATCGGTCGATCTCGGCCAATCCCCGCGCACCTTTGCGGCGGCGGAGATCCATATCTCCCCATCTCTCCCCATCTCTCCCCGCACCTCTGCGGAGGCTGCGCCGGCGCGTCGAGCAGGTCGAGTAGCGAGGGCTCCGCCTAGAAGCTTCCTAGAAGGGTCCCAGAAGGCTCCTAGGAGGGTCGAGTGGCGAGGCACCGCCCGCTCCGAGGCGGAGGCGGCGGGCGCAGAGGTGGCCGGCGCAGCGGCGGGCTTGTGCGTGGGCGCGAGGTCCGCGTCGGTCGTCGCGAGCGCGTCTTTGAGCCGGTCCACGTTCCAGCCCCCCCCCTCCCTGGTCGGCGCCTCGCCCTCGTCCTGTGCGTGCGAGGGGTGTTGTTGGCGCGGTGCAAAAGGAGGGCGGGGCGGGTGGGGGGTGGGGTGGGTGGGTGGGTGGCTGGTGGTGGTGGTGGTGGTGGTGGGGGGGGGGGGGGGGGAAAAAAGGCGGCGGCCACGGCCCGGCTTGGGGCGGAGGCGTCTCGTGCGGAGGCTGGGCGAGCGCGTCTGGCGGCGATCCGGGGACGGGCAGCCGCGGCTCTCTCATTCTCCGGGCACACGGCGCAGGTGTCCGCCGCCTGCCAACTCCGCACGCGAACGTCGGGCGAGGAGGGGGAGTTCGGCTCCGCCGCGCGCGCGTCGGCGGCGATCGAGCTCGTAGCGGCGCCCGATTCGGCCGCGGCGCTGTCGAGCGACCCGCCGACGTGGCCGCGCGCCGCGGCCGGCGCTGACGCGATCCCCTCGTCGGGCTTGCCGCTCTGCGAGTTTGAGAAGGCCTTGAGGATGTCCGCCGAGGAGAAGGCGCGGACCTCGCTCTTGTAGTCCAGCGCGTGGTGGTTGCCGGGCGTGTTCGCCGGCGGCGCGGCGGCGGCGGTCGCGCCCGGTGGGCCGCCGCCGCCACCGCCAAGTGCGCGCGCCGGGCGGCGGGCGACGGCGCCGCCCTGCTGCGCCGCGGCGAGGATGTCGGCGGTGGAGAAGGCCTGCACCTCCTTCTTGTAATCGAGCGCGTGGTGCTCCGTCGTCCCGCGGCTGCCGTGAGGGTCGTCCCGATGCATCTGAGACAGCCTTCCTTTTCGACGCCGCCGACACTTGAGTAAAAAGAATGACGCAGCGCTGTGCTCGCAAACCCTGTCAGCAGTCCTCCTCCGGGAATGCGTAAGAGTCAAAGAGAGAGATTTCTCCCAGTAAGCTAAAAGTACGTAATGAGAGAGAGACACATTGAGAAAGAGAGAGAGGACGTACGTAGATAAACGGCAAGACGCACCGCAAGAATCCAAACTGCGATCCACGCTGTCGAATCCTGGGTGGGCCGCGAATCTCTCGATCCACCAACTCCTTGCTATAGTGCACACGCCAAGGTGCGCTGGCACGCCGCAAGAGAATGTGCATGTCGCCGTCAGCGCAGCTCAAGAAGGGTGAGCCGGGGCCGCTCACTGTGCCGTGGGGCTTCGCGGCGCAGCTGGAGGCGAGGCCGCCGCCCGGCTGTGGCTGGTTCAGCGTCGCGGACATGCTCCGCCGCACCGCGTACAGCCTGGGCCTATTCTACTACAGCCTCGCGACACAGCCGCTGACCTTCTCGCGCTTCGCGCTGCAGTACAACCGGCTGTGGTTCGGCGGCGCCGCGGGTACGGCGATGACGCTGCTCCTGCCGGCGACGCCAGCGCTGCTCGCAGCGGTGGCGTGGGGCAAGCGGCTACGCGACTATTTGCTGCCGCAGCCGGGCGACGACTGGAAGATGGCTGGCCCGGGGCGCATCTGGTTCCTGCCACCGCCGTCGACGCTCGCCTCCATTGTTTACGACGCGCTCACGCCGCTCGCCGACTACGTCGCAGCCTTTGTCCTCTTTGGCGACGACCCCGACGGCGTAGAGCACACCTGGTACGACGCCATCTGCAAGAAGGAGTACTGGTGCGGCCTGCTCGATGCTGCGGACGCGCGGAGGCCGCTGCAGCTCGGTGCGTGGGACGGCGCCGCGCTGCACGACGTTTCGCGCGGGGTAGAGAGCGGCGGCTGCGACCTGGTCTGCAAGATCTCCGACTCGTATCTCGGCATCGGCGACCGCGTCTTCAAGCGAGGCGTCGACCACACACACACACACAACTCTCTCTCTGTCACACACACACACACACACACACACACACACACACACACACACACACACACACCGCTCACCCGCGCACCGGGCCTTGCACGTTGAATGCCGTGCGGCCCCTCTCGTCTAGACGTGGAGTCGCGAGGGTCGCCCCCACGCCCCTTGCCCCACCACACCTGTCTGTTTGGAGGAGCTTACCTCTTCTTCCAGGCGTCGACTTCGTGACGCGCGGCGAGGTCGAGGACGAGCTCCGCGCGGACCCGCTCTACGCGGGCAAGCCGGCGGTGCTTTGCGAGATCGTGTCGCCTAGCGCGAGCCTGGAGGTGTCGAGCGACGGGTATGGGCCTGTCCACTCGCTGGACATCCTCACGCTGCGCACGGGCGAGGGCGCGAAGGTGATCTCCGTCTCGGGGCGCGGCCGTGCCTTCAGTACTGGCTAACTAAGCATAGTCATTTACTCAACTACCAGGTGCTCTCCGTCGTCCTCTGGACCGACTGCACCACGTGGTCGTCGCACTCGGCCGCGGCGGGCCAACCTAGATGCCGCATCTCCCCGCGTCTCCCCGCATCTCCCCGCATCTCCCCACATCTCGCGAGCACTAGATGCTTCGCCGGCGGGCCCTCGTACTGTCAAGGGAGAGTGGACAGGGGGGGGGGGGGGGGCTCGGACTCGGCTAGACTCTCCTCGCCCTTTGCCTGCCCCGCCCACCGAGAGCTGAGCTCGCTGCTACCCCTCCTCCAGGCGGGCTACCTCGTCGACGTGGAGACGGAGACGATCGTCGCGCCGACGGCGTGGTACGCGCCGTACTTTGCCTCCATGCAAGCGCCGCTCGTGGGGCAGCGTGTCCCCGGCGCGCGCGAGGCTTGCCTCAAGGCGATGGCGGCGCACGACGCGTCCGAGCTAGAGTGGCTCACTTGCGTCGGCTGGGACGCGATGATCACCGACGAGGGCCCGACCTTCTTCGAGGGCAACGTGGCCGCGTACCGCACGCCGCGTCGCATGGCCCTCTCGCTCTCGCTCGCAGACGGCTTCCGCAGCTGGATGGCGACGCGCGGGAAGCGGTCGGCAGCCGCGTGAGCTTCTCCCTCTGTCTGTGCCCCCGCCTCTCTCCGCGGCTCGTCGACTCCGCGCGCCCGGGCGGGTGGCCTCGAGGGGGGCGTGAGCACGCCTCTCCAGGGAGGGTGCGGGCAAACCCTGCGGCTGCGCCCTCACCGCTTGCGTGTGTGTGTGTGTGTGTGTGTGTGTGTGTGTGTGTGTGTGTGTGCGAGCCCGCAGGGTGATGACGGTCACACACACGTGACGCGATCAGTTGTGTATGTGCTTGGAGTCCGCGCGGTCAATTGATTGTACAAATGATTTATGTGAGTTCACCCAGCGCGCAATACCTTGCGACAAGTTTGCAAAAAATCTCTCAAGTTTGTGCAAAAAATAAACCTTGCTTTCCGCAGGTGTATTCTTTTTTTGCTTGGCCGGACATCATGATGAAATTCTGCAAAAACCTGGCCGGCCCCCCCCCCCTGCCCTGCCCCTACCTACCTACCTACCTACCTACCTACCCTACTTATGGGAAACTAAAAAAGAAATCATAGGATGGTTGAAGGTGGGGTACCATACCAACTTAAAGTGATGGTTGGTGGTGCTCTCCTGCAACCACAGTCCTTCCTGTGACATGGCAGGCAGGCCACTCTCAAGCCCTACAAGCACCAACCAGATCACCCATTTGGGGAGGGTTGACATCGTGATTTCCGCGAAAAAAAATCTTTTTCTGCTGTGAAAATTCCAGCGTGGAGAGAGGGAAAACCCCGACGGGAGGGCCCAGACCTACCCTACCTACCCCGTCATGATGTCCGGCCAAGCAAAAATAAACTACGCTCTCCGAGTCGTTTCCAAGAACCAGTGCCTGAGCATTTCCCTGAGCATTTCCCTGAGCATGCTCCGCTGGTGCCTCTACCTCGCGTGCGCGCTACTTGCGTGCGCGCGAGGAGCGTCCGCTTTCCTTGTTCCGCCGCCACCCATGCCCCTGTCCGTCACGATGCACTTTGCCCAGCCGCATCTTATGCCACCGCCGACGACAGCCATGAGCTCCATCTTCCCCAGCACCAGCAAAGGCCAGAATTGAGGCGGCGAAGAAGGCTCAACAGGAGAAGCTGGCAACACGCGGGTATGGGGATCTGCCGTCCACTGCAAAAACGGTCGACGTTTCCAAGGTCACAGGCGCCGCACCTTCTGCCCCACCAAAGAGCTTTGCTGAGCTCCTCGCCGCGTCGGTTGCGCAGCGCGAGTCCCTTTCGGGACGCCTTTCGTACGCCATTCTTGAAAAGAAAATCCGTGCAGCCTACCCAGGCTTGACGTAGGTGCACGCCCCCGGCACCGGCTGCCAGCGGCTCTACAGTGTGTTTGGGAATGTAGTTCCATCCACTCCGAGACGCGAGTCAAAAGATCCCCCGCCGTTTGAGGCTAGTGTTTCGTTGAGACTAACATGGGGACAGTACATGGGAACAACAATACTGGGTTACCTTTCACACATGCTCTTCCCTCTTTTTTTCTGAGAGTTTTATTTTGTCGTCTATATACATCACACAATAACCGATCAGCGGTCTCGCGTGGTAAGAGATTACCTGCGAACCCCTCATTCGGCGATCGAGCTCTCGCTCTTCCCCCCCAACACAATTCGGTCCGCCACGCCCTTCGGCAGCCGGCCCTGAGCCACGAGGGAGCGGAGCCGTGCGTAGTAGCGCTGCTCTGCATCGTGCTCCCGAGCGTTGGAGTCCTCCTGCGCCGCCGCCGCCGCCGCCGCCTCCCTCGCCGCCGCTGCCCTAACCCCAGCCGCCACGTACGCCGCCGCCGCCGGTCGGGGCGCCGCCATCGATGGGGCGAGAGAGGCGGGTGCAGGTGGCGCGGCAGGGGCGGAGGCGAAGTGCCACCCCGGCATTGCTGCGCCGACCGGCATCATTCCGTGGGGTGCCTGCTGCCACGCTTGTGGCAGCATCCCTTGGAAGTGGGAGGGATAGGGCCCCGCCACAAACTGCGCCTCGCAGATGGGGAGATACCGGGGCTGCCATGTCATGGTCACGACCGGGGAGAGGTACTCCGCCGGCACCACGTAGTGCGGCTGCTGCGGCTGCATCGGCAGCTGGGGTGGCCTTGGCGGAATCAGCTGCGGTGGTGGCTGCGGCCCCGTCTGGAAGGCGGATCGCTTCGTAGAGAAGGGGACTGGCTCAGTCCGACCGCCGTGTGTGTTGCGCGTCGGGAGAAGGCCGTGGCGCCGGCAGGCCTGGTCCACCTCTGCCGCCGACCGTGCCTCCACCCCGATCCGCGCCAAATCCTTCTGCTTCTGGCGCACCCAACGGTTGCGGCAAGAGCTCGCAGTCCGGCCGGGGAGCTGCAAGGCGATGCTGTGCCAGCGTAGGCCGTCGAGAACGCCCTGGCTGATGCACTGCACCTCTTGCTCTGTCCAGCAGTCGCCATTCTTGTCGGCGTTCTCGCCCAGCTTTTTGAGGCGCAGGACGCGGTTGCGCACAGAGTCGCCCGTGCGTGCCTCGCCCGTGTCCTGGCGAAGCCTCGAGGCGATGCCCTTCCAGCAAGGCCCGAGCGCCTTATAGCTCGCAAGGACCGACCGGTCCGAAGCGGCGTCCCAGCCCACGCGGTCGGCCGACACCTTTCGCTTGCGGCCAGTCACCGCCGGCGCCTCGAACGTGGACTCGTAGCCCGATTCAGCCGTCTGGCGTCTCGCCTCGAACGTGGACTCGTAGTCCGATTCAGCCATATTTGGCGTCTCACCTTATGTTTTCCGTCTGACTCCCTTGAGCGGCGGCGACTCTCGTTCGGGCCTTAGAATTCATGCGGGATTACACGCCGACTTTCGGCACTTCATTTTTCGTATTTCTTCTTTTTTCACCCCTGTCGTCATATTTCTCATCTTATTGCACTACTAGTACCACACACCTGGCTCCTCTGCGCTAGCTAGGTAGGGCTGCCCTAGCTAGGGGCTGCCGGACATGCATGCATGGCGCCCCGTCCGTAACGTCTAACCGCCCGCCGCGCATAACTGACTCCTCATCACCTCCCTGCTAACATACATATGTAGGAAGGTGAAGAACAGTCAGGCTCGGACTGGACACCAACGCGGTATGGGTGGACGCTAGACAGATGATGACGACACGCACGAGCGACACACAGACACAAACAAGCTCACAAGACACACATGCAGAGAGAGAGATTTTTAGCAATACCAAACATTTTGTTTGTCACATGCATGTCCCGGCCGGCTCCATGCCGAGAGGCCGAGTCAGGGGTTGCGAGTCAGTCAGCTCGCTTCTCCTCAACCGACAGCTGCCCCCAGCTCTCGCCTGGAGCTCTCTGGACCTGGCCGGTCCTGGCCCGTCGCCGGGCTCGCCACCATCTCGCGACGGTCCCCACCTCCCCCGCCCGGCCCTTCCAGATTGCGGATAGCTTAGCTCCAGCCGCCGCCGAGGCGGAGCTGAGCTTCCTGGTATCCTGGATGGAATCGGCGCCGGTCCGTGTGGCAACGGCGGGTGGGGATGGCGGCGGCGGACGAGGGGGGTATGGATAGCGGCGGCACGGGTCGCGGCAGCGCCGATGTGGAGGGTGGGCATGGGGTCATGTATGTATGTAGGAAGGTGAAGAACAGTTCGGACTGGACACCAACGCGGTATGGGTGGACGCGAGACAGATGACGACGACACGCTCGAGCGACACACCACACACACAAGCTCACAGGACACACAGCCGACGGTAGCTGGGCTGCCACACACCCCGAGTGGGCGTAACACATCACTCGGGGCCACGTCCCCCCCCCCCCGCCCCCCCCCCCCAGCACCCACGTTGCCAAGGGCTCAAACAACAGGACACAAACACAGACAGGCGACAGGGGGTAACGTGTGAGGCTAGAGCACAGACTGCTCCGCCTCTACCGCTCTAGCAATCTCGCCGGCCGCAAGGCACGGACAAGACCGTGTGTGTGTGGGGTCGTGTGAGGTGTCTATGGACGCCCTCCTCCTCCTCACGGGCGCGGCCAGCCGCTAGCCCTATCTCGCACTCATGGTTGACGATAGTTCATTGGATGAGTGTTCGCGAGCAGATGTGCGTGTGCTGATTCTAGGTAGGCCGCAAAGGTAAGGCGTAAGCCGTCGGTCGGCTGCGCCTTGTCTGTCGTGTGAATCGCGCTGCTTTCCCCCTGTGTTAGTCCCAGTAAAGAAAGAAAGAAAACAGACAACCCAAGGGAGGGATGGGAGGACGGCACGCCGCCACCACACAGGGATTTTAAGGAGAGGTGTGTGGTGCGCTATCCGTCACCCACCCTAGGGAGTCTGCCTCTTCCTATCTCTCTTCGCAGTCTCTCGCCGATTCTCGCTGCAACCTTCATGCCACCTCGCGGTCGTCCCACCCTCGTCGTTCTCTCCCTTGTCACTTCCTCCTCTGACGCGTTGTTCTCTTCTGCCTCGTCCTGCGACGCCGCCACCTGCCGGTCCCTTGTTCTCGCGGCTTCTTTCGCCTGTCGGCGCAACTCCGTCCTCCTCGCGGCGTATCCTGGCCCCTCGAGTCTATCGAGCTCCCCTCGCGCAAGGACCACATTTCTGACTCCCACTCCGATCATTTGCCTACAGGTCATGTTGTTGCTCAGGTCCACTCTCTCTTCGAACACTCGTGCCTCTACGGATGATGCCGGCGCTGGGGTCCCCTTCGGATGCATCGTGACATCTGACAACTGGATTTCCACTGGTTCGTCCTCCTCGGAGTCATCTTCCCCGTCCTCCTTCCGCTCGGCTCTTCGCTCGGTACGTTCGGTGTGGCTCACCCTCCATGCCGTGAACAGGCGCTTTATCCACCCTATATTCTTCTCTCGTTCCTCTGCCCGTGCCTTGGTCTTGTCGTTGTTTCGCACCCATGTCTGTATGGCAATCGAGGCTGCCTTCCCCACTACCTGTAGTTCACTCGTCACCTCTCCCGCGAGCTCCCTTCTCTTTCTTTCGGGTATGGAGTCCGTGAGTGCGGGTAGCGTGCAGGCAATCACGGGCGCTATTTTGTCGTACTCTTCTTCGGCGAGCGCCCCAAATCTAGACCCTTTCGCCTTTAAGGAGGCTGCCCTCGCTCGTCTCAGGAATGTGGCGGTGTCTTTTGAGTCCGGCGCCTCCCGTTCAACTCTTGCTGTCGCCCTCGCTGTGTGTTTGTCGAGCTTCCGCATGAAGTGACGCGCCTCTTCCTTATTTCCAGCGCAGCTGCCGCTCAGTATGTGCGCCAACGACGCCTGTGGTGGCTCACTGTCTTCTTGTTTCCAGTCGTCCCAGTCTTTCAGTTCCCCGCGTCTCCTCCTTGCCTCGCGCGCCTCTTTTGCGACCTCATCCCTAGCCGCTTTGCACGCTCTGCATCCCCAGAACGCACTTCTCGTGGCGGGGCCCCTCATTCCCCGTTTCTTTTCCCCCTCTAGAATACGCCTGTGGTGTGCCCCATGTGGCACCCCGACCTGTTGTCTCACCCTGGCCCCCAGGATCGTTTTGGTCGTCACATTGTGATCCCCGACGTCGTCAAATGTCGCCCGCCTGTCCTCCCCCCCGTTCTCGTCTGGTAATCTCATCTTATTATCCCATCGATGCTTGAGGCTGGCTACTGCCACTTCGCTCCACAACCGTCCCGCCACCCCTGCCGTGTGCGACCCCGGCCTCACTGTCTTTCGATATTGTTCGCACACCCACTCGTGCGCGCTCTTACACATGTGTCCGTACGTCCGTCGGTCCACTATCTCCCTCTTCTCTGCGTTCTCTGCCGCCTCCCTTCGCGCCGTGTACATGCATGGCCGCGTCCGCACCGCGTCCCGCACCACTTTCGAGGCGTCCTCCGTGTCGTTATCCCCGAGGTGTGCTGTTGCCACCGCGTCGGCGTAAGCGTTGCAGGCTATTCCCACGTGTGCTGGCACCCACATGAAGACCACCGCCTCTAGCTTCGATCTATAGTAAGCGATCGCCTCCAGCAGTCCGCCTCTCTCCCAGTCCCTCAGGCCTTCTGGCATCCCTTTGCGGTGCGCATTCTCAATCTGCTGCAGCGCGGGTTTGCAGTCGCATAGCACTAAGCACCGCCGCGCTTGCGCGTCGCTCGCGCTCGCCATTTTGCGTAAGTATGCGAGTATCGCGTACATCTCCGCGTCTATCGGCTCCCACATGTTCGGCAGCTTTCCTCCCCACATTCCCGCCCCAAACGCTATCCGTATCTCCCCTTCTTCACAGGGTCCGATTCCGTTGGGATCCTTTATGTGTGTTAGTCCCAGTGCGCGCCAGGTCCCGCCTTCGCAAAATTCTTCAACACCCCGACGGACGCACGCACACTCACTCGCACGCACAAGCGCGTGTTGGTATAACATAAATGGACACACCCATGGTGCGGTCGGCAAGCGAGCGAGCGTCCTGGTCCGAGCTAGCCTTCCACTTCTCCGTGCTCGGCGTCACCGCCTTTGGCGGCCCGGCGGCCCACATCGGCCTGTTTGCCGACCTGTTTGTGCAGAAGATGGGGTGGATCACGGCGCGATCCGCTGCTTCAGCTCCCTCGCCCGCCGTGCGTGCTCTGACCCCGCCCACCCTCGCAGAACCTGCACTTTGCCTCCCTCCTCGCCCTTGGCCAGTGCCTGCCTGGCCCGACCTCGACGCAGATGAGCTTCGCGCTCGGCATGAGCCAGCAGGGTCCGCTCGCCGGCCTTATGACGGGTCTGCTCTTCCTGATGCCCGGCGCCCTCACGATGACCGCCTTTGGGTACGGGGCCAGCTTCCTCGACTCCCTCTCCGTCCCTGGCACGCCGCTGAACTGCGCCGGCGCCGGCCTGTCGGCGGTCGGGGTCGCGATGATCGCGGGCGCCTCGCTCGGCCTGTGCCAAAAGCTGTGCACGGACCGGGTCACGTCGACGATCGCCGGCGTCACGTGCGCCGCGTGCGTCGCGCTGCCGGCCGCGTGGCTCTACCCCGCCGCGCTCGTCGCCGGAGGCGCGCTCACGCTTGCGCTCGCCTCGCTCCCGGCGGGCAGAGGAGGCGCCTCGAGAGAGAGCAAGAGCGAGCTGGCCGAGTCGCTTCGCGCGTCGCTCAGCTCGGCCGACGGCGCGGCGGTGTCGCCCGAGGCGGAGCGCGACGTACCCGAGCCGACCAAGCAGAACTCGCTCACCGGCATGGGGGAGTCGCGTGGCGTCGGCCGCGTCGCCGGCGGCGGCCTGCTGCTCCTGTTTGCGCTGGTCGTCGCCGGGAGCGTGGCGGCGCAGGAGCTGCCCGCGGTCAAGGGTTTGGTCGAGTGGGCCGCAGCGCCGCCGCAGTCGCAGCCCCCGCTCATTCGCGGCTTCCTCGGGCTGCCTGATCTTCCGGCCCTAGGCGGCGGCGGCGAGAGCCGAGCCGAGGGGCCGCCTTCGCCGCCACCGCCCGCGCCCGCCGCCACACTCCTCTACCTCTTTTCACGGCTCGCCATCATCGGCGCGCTGGTCTACGGCGGCGGCCCCATCGTGCTGCCGATGATCCAGCTCTCCCTCGTCGACGAGGCGGGCCTGCTGACCGAGCACCAGTTCCTCGCCGGCCTGGGGGTCTCGCAAGCGATGCCCGGGCCCGCCCTCCAATGCGGCGGGGGTTCCGCAGGCAGGGCAGGTTCTCATACGAGCGGTGTGCATAGGCCAAACTTCAATATTGCGGCCTACCTGGGCGCGCAGGCCGCCACGACCGCCGGCGCCGCGCCGCTGCTCGGCTCGCTCGCCTGCTGGCTCGGCATCTTTACGCCGGGCGTGCTGCTCATCTTTGGCGTGATGCCGTTTGCCGAGGCGGTCTGGGCGGCCTCCTGGTATAAGCGGCTGCTGCCCGGCGTCAACGCTGCGGCGGTCGGCATCATCGGTTCGTCCGTCTTTACCATGTACGCCAAGACGCTCGTCAACTCCCCCTTCCCCGCCTACTCCACCGGCATCGCCATCCTCGGCTTTGTCGGCGTGCGCGTCCTGCAGGTCTTGGCGCCGTTCGTCGTCATCGCAGGCGGCCTCGCTGGATGGGCGCTCCACTATGCGCTGAACGTAGAGGTGGGAGGCACCGCCGAGTCATGAATTTGGCACATCATCGGGAGTTTTCATGGAGGCGCGGACGCCAGACCGTGGTACCACCTTGTCGCGTACCTCGCGAGGTACCTAAAGTAGAGAAGAGAGAAACAAAGTAGACATGGAAAAGAAAGAGGTATACCTGTTGCTTTTGAAAATGGCTGCACAACATGACATGAACATGAACATGAACATGAACATGAACATGAACACATGAACATGAACATGAACATGAACATGAACATGAACATGAACACGTAGACGTAGCTCACTGAAAACTGCGTGCTTGGGGGACGGGGTCGGGGAAGTTGGCCTCTCTGAGCTCTCTCTAACCCCGGCCGCGCTACTCTCATTCAAGCGTTGTTGATCTCACCACTTAGTACGCCATGGATGAAGTTGATTGTCGTCTCGTGCATTTCTTTGCACCCTCCTTGGAGTCGGATCGCTGCCACAGCGTCCGAGCGTGAGTCGCAATCTTGTCGATAAATAGTGCTCCGCCCCGTCAGGGGGGTCGTGCGGCTCGTTCGACACAAGTGTGGGGACGTGGCGTCGAACGTCTTGTCCAAAGTACCTTGCCTCAGTGAACCCTCCTGGGCAGTAGCCATGGCTTTCATCGGGCTCAAGGCACGCGCCAAACGCCTTTTGAGCGTGCACGGTCATGTCGTTGGAAGGAGGCGGGTTCTCATATGCGTAGCACTGGTAGCTTTGCGACTCCAGGAGGGCAGCCCCGACCACCCTCGCACCGGCAGGGCTCCACACCTCATCGAGAGATTGCAGTCACAAAGTCAGCCGGGTAGTAGCGGTCACCGTAAGGACGCTGCGATCGTCAGGACAGCATACTTTGCCAGGAGAGTTGCCAAGATCTTGCCCCCATTGGCAGCCTGCCGTAGCCCAGTGTGTGCACTTTCCAAACATGTCCGTCTTGCGACAGCACTCCAGCTTGCGTTCACTACCAGCGCCGCCGTCGTAGGTCCACCGGGAGGAGCTTCCTCCCATCCTGGTGTATTCACCGGCGTTGCCAGGGTAGAACCAGACCACCAGCGGCGAGCGTCCCGTCGCCAGATCGGCGGGCGCCTCCGGTACTAGCTACAAGTAGGCGCTCCGACTAGTGCCGTCCTCCTCAAACGCCTGTCCGTGTCGCTCGGTTCGGGTTGCCCACCCGTCAGGAGACAGACCTATCAAGCGAGGCGTGAGCCAGGCCGCAAATGTGCTCGATCCGTCCTCCTTTGGCAGGCAGGAGGCTTCGCTGATCCGTCGGTCGTAGAGACCGACCATATGGCCGACTGCACGCTAAAGGCTACACGCTCGCACACCACTTGCAGAGTGTAGTGTGGCTCTCCCGGGCGCTCAGCCCACGGCGGAGGCACGCCAGGCCCCGGGCAGCCGGCCGTCACTCGCCTAAGCGCCTAAGCGGCCTAAGCGGGGGGGTGCTTAGGGTGCTTAGGCGCTTAGGCGGCCCTTGCGAGCGTGGCGGCGTGGTGGTATCGTAATACAAGTGACTCCGATGACACACATGATGCTCTTGCTAGTGTCATTGCTCAGAGAGCAGCCTCACCGCGTCGAAAGTCTACCACTGGCCCTGGTCGCACACCGCCGCTGAGCTGTGATGATGCCCACAGCACCAGCAGCAAAGGCGGGCGGGCCGACCCCGCGGCCATCGCCGCCGCTGCCGCCTCCTCCGCCGCCGGCGCCGCCCCCTCTGCCGTCGCCGTCACCTTGGGCTGCATCACCCGCGCCGCCGCCGCGCACCGGCTCGTGCTCATTCAAAGGCGCCTCGAGTTGCAGGCCAGCGGCGCTGACGTTGTCGTGGTCGGGCTGCCCAACGTCGGCGCGGGAGGGAGGGGGCAACGCCGTTATGAAGAGCGCGAGAGCGAGCGCCGACGGCCCAGATTCTGAGCAGCAGCCCGCCTGGTCATGGGCCACTTGCCTACGTGCGTCCAGCTTCCACTATAGGACGAACGTCGAAGTTTGCTCTCCGACGCCGTGCCGAGCGAAACCTTTTCCTTCGAAGCCCGGCGACGTAGCCGGGCGAGCGGAATAGGGCAGCCCTAGAGAGCACCTTGAGGCCATTCAATAGAGCCCGTACTATAGTCGAGAGTCGATCGCCGGCCCGCGCAGTGCTGCTCTGACCGCTCCGCCGGGCCGCCTCCGGGCCGCCGCGGCGGAGACGTGCACATAGGCAAGTTGGTATTTTCATATATGAACTTCAAAATAGTATTGGCTAGTCTAATTCTACTCATCACAACTCGCCAGGAACACCCACACACTATAGGGTCATTGTGTAGCCCTGCTTAGAAGGAAAAGGTTTTCTGCAAGGTCCGTATGCCTTACCGTGTAGTCGGCCATATGCACAATGTCTTGACTGAGAGCTAAGCAAGTTCGACGATCGGCAGCCTCACCGCGGGTCGCGCCGCTGCGCAGGCTACCACTCAGGCCGCGGGAGCCGATCGGCTGCGCCGAGGACAGCTCCCTCCCCCCCCCCGCTCCCTTCCCCTTCGAGCCCCCCACCCATCCCACTAACATCCCCCCGCGGTGCGCGGTCCCTCGCGGCCGCGCGACGCCGCACCAATGGCGCGCTGTGCCTCGTCCGCGAGTGCCGTCCAAAGCTGCACTGACAGTCGCTGCAGCGCAAACGGCATCCATTCGCGCGCCGACCACGACGTCTGGTCGTACTGCCACCACGTGAGCTTCCGGCGCCCGCCACCTTAGCCACCCGCATCAGCAGAGCTTCTCCACCCCCGCGCTCATTGCGCCGAACTCCTCGAAGAGCAGCGCCTCCACATGGCACTTCCCCTCTGCGTCCGTGTACTGGCCCTTGACAGCCTCAACCGTCCCGGTCCCCGTCCGCGGATCCCACCTCCCCACCCTCCCGTGCCTGTCCCCGGCCTCCACGCCCAAAACCGTCTCGCGGGCGCGTGGCAGCATATTGCCGCAAGCGACGAACGCCCCTATGCGCTCCACCCCCGAGGGGTCCGACGGCACACCGGCGAAGATCTTCGTGTCGCCGATGCAGGGCAGGTCCCCAATCACGCCCTGGTAAATGTACAAGTCCGTCCTCGATATACCTCGTAGTGCTGTGCCGAAAGAGGCGAGGACAGAAAAAGGTACCGTCTGACAGGTATTTTGATGCTCTATCGACTGGCGCAAAATCCCCCGCAAAATGTTTTCACAGCGGGCGTGATTCACACCGAAGCATGAGTGCGAGAAGCATAGTAGGGTAAGCAAAAGAGGTTATCTGATATCTCCTAGGCACAAGGGCGAATGCTGCTTGCACTGCATGCTGGCTCGGATTTGCCATTTGGTTGCAGGTACCAGATACCTCGCGAGATGGAAATAAAAAGTGGGAACGTCCCCCTATAGAGGCTAGAGGTTAAGAGGATGAGCCCACCCCCACTCCCCTGAGTCACGACAAACACACACGGACCTGACTCTCACTTTCTCACCATCAGCGGCCAGGAGAGGAGGTGCTGGCGCTCGGCGGCCGACGCCCACCGCCTCCCGCCCCCTACGTACCGGGCCGCAAACGCGCGCAACCCCCGCATCGACGGCGCTACTCTCAGGCCCTCCGAGGAGTGGAGCGTTGGGAGGACAGGGAGGACAGGGGCACAAGGCCCGCTCGCCCGCCTACACACGCTCAACGGGCAGAGGCACACCACCGAGCGGGGTTGGGAGGACAGAGGCACAGAGCCCGCCCGCCGTCACAACCTCAACCCGCGCGCCTTGGTGCGCGGCCGCTCGGCTCGCGCGGGCGGCGGCAGGATGAGCGAAGCGGGGTACGGCACACGCCTCGCCGCCATGCCGCTCGAGAAGCGCAGCCGCGCCTAAGGACATGTCTCGGACATGTCGTGGACGTGTCCTGGACATCTCACATGCCGCTCGAGAAACGCAGCCGCGCCGCCCAGACGAGCGGCGCGAGGCGGAGCCGCCGCTCGTACCTGTGAGGGGGGGGGGGGGTGAGAGGGGGGGGGGTGAGGAGGGGGGGGGGGGTG